GGGGGGGGGGGGGGGGGTTATTGTGATTTTGGGGAGAAATACCAAAAGGTGACAGTTTTCGGCGAAAATATTTTCTTCTGCTTCTTTTCTTTTTTTCCTAACGATACAACCACACAAGTCTATGGTCCTGAGTAACAAAGAACACGGCTGAGTTCCTACTCGGTCGTTATTTTTGACACACAGATGGAGTTTAGCCGGACCAGAAGGCGTAAAAGGTTAAGTTGAGGGGATGTAATAAGAATAATGATAAGAACTGTTTGAAATGCTTCAGTTTAAATATTTTTAACATTGCAGTATTCATCATTTACATCAACAGCAGCAAAATGTCTAGGATTTTAAAAAAGACGGAATACACGTACTGTAAGAGTGTAATATTATTTTCAGGTTCAGCACTAAAAACATACAAAGTCATGAATTGCAGATTCTCAGTTGCTTTGTTTACCCGCACAGACAAAATTAATACGGTATCAAAGGAAAAAGAAAGACAACATAAACGTTCTACACGATCTCAACATGAGAAAGAGTAAACACGTTCATTTAATTATAGCATCATACTGTACCTTTAAAAAGCCATCATTTTTTCACATGAAGATTCCCGTCTGAGAATAATATGGCTTGTATCCAAAAGGTCAAGGCTTCACTTCCTCGAAGGGTTGTATTTTTTTGACGTCTCGGTGGCTCAGCAAAACTACATGTAGGCCTATGCTCAACAATGTTCTCCTCATGAAATTCACAAGCAAAACAATAAGTACAGTTAATATGATTAAGGCACCGTCGACACTTGTTAAATGACTACTCCACGTTCCACCGGTCAGAAGACCAACAATTATAGGACTGCCTGCCTGTCACCACGATACCTCTAGTGTCAATAAACCATAAATGACCGGCCCATTTCCCTGCTTAGCTCTGGCCACTCTTTGGTCACCGTTGCTCTCGTCCCGAGGCAGGAAGGACTTTCTGGTCGACTCAATTCTTTATCACAACATTGACACAGCATTGGGGATACGCGGCCCATGGCTCCAGGGCCAAGAATCTTTGGCCAGGCGCCCCGAACAAGTCCCTCGGGACAATAAGAAATATCTGTCGGTAGATCGATACACAGACAGGCTTACAGAGTGCACGGCAACAACTTCCAAGCCACGCTACTACATAAAGACATAAAGACACGAAGAGAACATGACGTTAAATGTGTCCCCTACAACACAGACTTGAATTGTTCCAAGGGTTTAACTGAGGACGCGAGATACATAATCTCTTTTTCGGGTCACGCAAAGATAGTTGTAGCTGTAGCTTCGGGGAGGCCTTCAAAACATATAAATGTGACTGATAAAGGAGAAGACAGAAAAGCGGAACACATCGAAGCTTTTAAGACAAAGACCTGTGATATAGATCTATACTATATTCGTGCTTGAAAAAAGACTAGAGAATAAAAAAAACATGCCCGTCTCGGATTAACGATAAGAGTAGGCTGAGGCTGGAGAAAAACAAAGGGACGGTATTTTTCAAAAATGGTGAAATGGTATGGGTTGAACGCCCCTATCAACACTATTAGGTTTTTGAAGAGGCGGGACCTCCTAGTTTAACGCCCGTCTCCGAAAGGACCAAGCCAAGTGGGAAATTCGTGCAAAGTGCCTTTCCCAAGGGCACAACGTCAGACCGAGCTGAGGCTCGAACCCCAGAAAAAGGAATTTAACGATTACAAGTCCAGTAGACGATATCAAATGCAAGTACTTTTGGGATCTCTGATAATTCGAATAAAACGCCCTTCTTTTCTTCTGTCTGTTTCAGTTTCT